ATAAATTTTATTACTCTTCGTGAAATATTTAACTAAAGAAAATTTTACATGGCAATTTTTGAATACTTATCATTTCATCAAATATTATAAATTGTATTTACTTTTCTACTCACCCTATATTCGTAGTTAATTATACAGAAATAATTAAGAAGCCCGCGGAAATTTATTAATTAGTGTTGGTGTGATTTAACATGTTTCTGCGAATTTATGCAGCTTATACAGATTAGAAATTCTTGATGTTGATCGTAAACGATGAAAGTTATTAAGCAAAACGCCTCAGGGTCGTAAAGGAAATATTGTCAAATACATAGTATTTGAAATCGTGGCGAAATATTAAAAAATGTCGAATTAATGGGTTAATGCTAATATATTTTATTTTTTGTTTTTAACATTTTAATAGGAAATAACTACCAAAATTCTTAACTTTTAATATTTGCTTACTAGCATAAAATAACTACTTAAGTAGCTGCACATTGGATTAAAATATTATAACAAATATTATTATTTTTGATTGTCCCATAACAATGGGTTTAACCAAATTGTTATAAAATCCTATAACAAAAGAACTAAGCGTAAAGTATTAACAGTATAGAATTATACAGGGTGGTCCAACATAACAAAATCTAGGGAATTCAAATCTAAAGATTTGGCCGGATAATTCAGAGCCATTTACCAAAAAATATCTAAAATCTGGAACATTAAATAGATTTTATAGTTATTTATGTATTAAGGGCATAATAAGGTTTTTATGGTCCGAGGCGCTATTTCGAGAACGAGCGCGTCAGCGCGAGGGCTAGAAAAGCGTCGTAGGACCATAAAAACCAGTTATGCCAGCAATGCATACAAAACTTTATGCACGATTAATATATTATTATTTTTAATATATTATTGTTTTTAAAAACGTTTACGTCAAAGAATTTTTGTTATAATTGTCATATTATAATGTCAACTGACATCAGTCAGTTTTAAAGTTTAAAAATGAATGAAATTGAGGAAGCAGCTGAAAAGGCGAAAAATTGCGGCCTGCTGCCGGAAAATCAAAATCTTTATACGAAAAAACTTACTTCGAATATATCAAATGGTGTAACATTGTTGTTTTTAATTTTTGACGTTTCATTATAGCCCGCTGGGTCATAATAACGCCCGCGGGCTATAAAAAGACGTTTACGCCAAAGAATTTTTGTTATTTTTGTAGTTATCGCCTTCAACAATATCGACTACTAAAGTATAAGAGTTATTTTCAAATTTCAACTCAAATATTTTATAAAAAATTGAGTTTAACGCCATTTGGAACTTTACTAAGCCAAATCAATTGGTTTAAGTATTTTTAGCAACTATATATTAGCAAAATTGTAAAATTATAAATTTAAACCTATAAAAAAAATTAACTTTCCCCAACAGTACAGAAAAATAATATTCACTACTTAATGCTATTTAAACATCTTAGAGTAAAATAACATCCTCCTTTTTTTTAAATAGTTGAGAATATATTTCAAATATTACAGAAAAAGCCCATATGTGGTAATATAAGTGGTTGAAATAACCCCTAAAGTTTGTCCCTTAAATTTGGTCCCTTAGGTCACGTCTCCTGGGTCACAGCTTTTACAAATTACCTATTGAATTGAGCGCAAATTTTTTGGTGCTGCCCCCTTGCGGCAATGTATTTGGTAACGGATTTTAGTAGGAAATGGTGTTATATTGAAGCCACAATACATTTTTTTGTATTTTTTCTACCAGCGTGGCAAAACTGTGCATTCTCCTGTGTCACAGTAACAAAAATTAGTAAAGGTACCAGTTAGACTTTGTTTGATTCTCGATAGTAAGTAATACTAAGTATCCTATAGTAATGGTTTTAAGGGCAAAAATACAAATTTTTATCTTTAAAACACTAAAGAGGTTATGTACTAAAAACATACATTTTTGCCCTGGGTCACACGTCTCCTGGATCACATATTGTGTGACTCAGGGGAAAGTTATGGGACCCAGGGGACAATTCCAAAGAAATAAATTATAATATATTTTTGAAATAATAATAAACTTATGGGAAAGTTTTAAAAACTTTTTTTTTCGACCTTCCACCTTTTTTGTTTTTGACAGTACGTAGCCAATTTAAAATAATATCCTCTACCTTTTTAATAGTAATTTTCCTAGTCAATGTATTTTGCCTCAAAGAAGCTGGAAAAAAATATTTGGTAGTTCAACGAAACAATGTTAACCTTCCGGCGGGCGCACGTCTTTTGTGAACGAGTTCGGGCGCAGTGATCTGACAGATTCAATTTTCAGATAGGCTTATTAAAGTGCTTTTTAATATTTTTTACCAAATAAATAATTAACACTTCTTTTTTTAAGACTATATACTAACTTATAAAATACTATACATACATAAAATGCGCAAATAAAATCAAATATAACTTATTTTTGTAAAGACAAAAGAAATTTTCAGATATGCATACTAAAGTGTTTTTTTTTATATTTTTACCAAATAAATAAATAACAACGTTTTTAAAACTTTTAATAAATAACATAAAATTAAAACATACATGTATTTATGCATAAATTTCGAAAATAAAATAAAACAGTTTTTTTGTAACGAAAACTAAACAAAATAGGTATTTTATACAAATATTGTATATCAAAACAAATAATTATGAATAATTATTAAAACTCCTCATTAGATTTAGTAATAACAGTTTTATCCAAACATGAAGTGCTTACGAAAATTGCAAGTTGTAAGTGCTTTTTGACATTTTTTGCACTTTATTTAGAAAGCGGTCTAATACCTGATTCTGAAGTACAGGGTAAACATCTTTCGTTTTTAGGTGGTTGTTCTTCTTGCTGAACTATCATAGTATAAATTTAAGTAAAAATGTATACAAAAAGTTATAAATCAATGCTTACGTTCATAAAAAGTTAAAAATTTGTAAATATTAAATTATAACGCAATCGGGCGCACTGTATCTAGCAGATCAAAATGCCTGCCACCACCTTACAAGGAGATTAAACACAAACTGCAGTAGACATATCGGTAGAAGTCCTAAAAATATGAATCTACTAAAGGGCGGGTAGTTATGCCTATAAAAACAGTGCGTTCGCGTGCAATTTTTTAACTGGTGTATCTCTTAGATCGGTTGCGCCCGCCGGAAGGTTAATATTGACTTTTTATTATTATTTTATTATGATTACTAATAACTAAAACTTTTTTTTAATTTATTGCTCGTTAAATTGGGCAAGTTGGGCCCAGATAAAAAATCGACAAAAAAAACGTTTTTAATACGCATTAAAAGAAAATTTCTTTAACTCACTTTTTTAAATGGATATTTTTTAAATACAGAAAATATATTAAAAATACTTATGTAAGAAAGTTGAGAAATAGAACATAGTTTTTTTTTACTTAGTTTTGTACTCAACATTTTTTTATAAATAATAAATATATGTTCTTTTTTTAAACAAATCCTAGTGTAAATAAAACTTTAAAAGGACTATTAGCAAGCAAAAAAATATATTTTCAAAATGAGCATTTTTATATAAGTTTTTAAAATTTTAGTAAATTTATGACCCAGGGGACCATTTTTTTCTTTTTGAAGGGCTTATTTAAAAAAATCGAACTGCTCACTTTTAGGTGTTTTAGTGTCTTAAAAACACCCCTAAATAAACAAAATTAAAAAAACAAGTTTATAGATTACTTTTTTGTTTTTACTTTTTTTTTCTTTAAATGTAAATACAAGAATTTTAAAAATGACCCATAAACCACATATTTAAGTTATTTAAAATACGTTTCTCCTGTCAGGTTACCATCAAGAAAAATGGGTTCAACCCTGTATGTTATGGGCTATGATTTTTATTTTATCAATAAATTATAATTAATATATGATTTTATTTTATTTGGAATATTTATTATACATATGGGTGAATATATTGAGATGTCCCCCAAGTGAAAATGATTATTTTTTATTTTTGGTTGTGTCACTGTTAGTCTAGAATGGGGTTTTTGGGAAGCCGCCAGGTCTAGTAATAACATAACATAAGTGGTTCTGCCCTAATGCAAAAATTTTAAGAAATCATACATTTTGAATATTAGAGCTTCACGGAAGATAGCTTCACGGAGGTTAGGATTTCGTATGTTTTTTTAAACATCCCTTTGTATATTTGAAATAAGTTATTGTACCTTTTGACACCTTAATATTTAAAAAAAATACAATTGTACATACATAAAATATTTATAAAAAAAATCTACTTACTGAGATATTACACTTCACAGTGGATAGGTTTTTAAATAGCAAATTAATAAACTTAAACTTTTGAATTATAAAACAGCAACACTCTCATCTGCATATAAATTCTAACTGACCTTCAGGAATCACATGCATCTAAAATGTCGTAAACAGAGTTTTTGCTTATTTAAAATGAATAAAGCGCCATTGTTGCATAAAATTTAAAGAAAAAACAGATTTACGGAAGATTAAATTAATTTTTGTAACACCTACATAAATGGTTATAAAAATTATTTCATTTAATTTATAATAATATTTTATATTTGATTCGATTGCTTTGGATGTGTTTAATTTACTTAGTGAACTGATATTTTTAGTAATTTCTTAATTAATGCAATGTTTAAGTAAAAAATAGCTATCACTACGACATTAAAACTAAAAAATAAGAGACTTTTTAAGCGAGGTAGATGGGCTAAAAAGTGTAATGACCCGTATTCTGATTTTTGCGCATTCGCCATTTTTAAAACTTGGAGCTAATAAACACTATTTAATTATTAATGCTGGGTTTAAAAATATTACTATTAAAGTTTAAACATAACTAACATTTTAAACTAATAGTACTTTTTTTAGAATAAACTTTAATTATAGCGTTTTTATTTAAATAAAAGTTTTTAGTAAACATTTGTACACGTGCAGAAAAAAATTTAATTATAATGCTGTTTTAAAGATTTAGTAGCCGGGAAACTCAGTTCCGTGAAGTATTTTAATTATGCTAAATGAAAAAGTGCTTTAATGCAAAACTGCTTGAAAGGAAAGCGCTCTTGTTTCAACTGAAAAAAATTAAAGAGTAACACAAGAAGGCTTAAAAGTAACAATAAACACGAAAAACAAAAAACGAAACAAAGACTTACATTGAACCCTGAAGTCGAGCTCGTCGCTGACAGTCTCCCCCTCGCTGTTGACAACGGAGCACCTGTAGCGCCCTGCACTTTGCCTCGTAACCTTTTGTAACACCAAACTTTGGTTACTGTGGATGATGCGACCAGACATATTGTGGTTTAGCACCAAACCCTGCAACAAAATACACGATACTTAGCATATTAGTAAACCAATATGCGGCGCGACACGAGAACGCTTTTACGTGGCGCGTGTATGGATTTTATTAGCGAATAATCCGGTTTAATCGACGCTGATCGAAGAATTTACTTCAACGCCCATTAAGTTTACTTATTAGGATTTACCACGAATTTCGATTTGTAGGTTGTAGAACTAAAAGGTTAAAGTAGTCCGGCTGTTTCAAGTACGGTTAAATGACATCGATTTTAGCTGAAGGTGATAATTAAAGATGGGATATTTAGGTACTAAAAACTTAAAAATAGGTAACTAAAAAGGTACTAAAAAAAGCATTTTAGGTTTAAAAATCCGCATTTTAGGTAAAAAAAAACAAGTTCAAGTTTCGTTTATAATTTTGTTTAGCCGCATACCCAAACACAGAACATACCCATAATCAACTATTTCCATGCAATAAACTGTGTTTCACTGAGTGACACTCACTATACGGAAGTTCTATGACAGAACATAAGCTCACTACAAAGAAGTTAACTGTAAAGAAAGTTACTGTTACAGTCTGTGACTATAAGAAAAAATTCACACCCTGGATAAAATATTGGCGGAAAATTTTAAAAAAACACAAAAAATAAAATAAGTAAAAATACGTAAAAATAGATAACAAATACTAAATAAACTAAAAAATTAAAAAATATGTAACAAAAGTATAAAAAGGTAGTTTAAAGCAAAAACCTCCAAAAAAGGTAAAAAAGGTGAAAACAAGTTAAAAAAATAGGTAACAAAAGTATAAAAAAGTTAGTTTAAAGCAAAAACCTCCAAAAAAGGTAAAAAAGGTGAAAACAAGTTAGGTTCATATAAAAAAAAATCTTTTAAAACACATTTTGGCATTATTGGTTTTCAAATAGTTACATCGGTTGAAAAAAGGTAAAATAACTAAAATCCCATCCCTAGTGATAATAAATAATTATCTATATTAACTTATTAACATTACATAAGAAACCAACCAAAAATACAATTTATTAATAATTCACATACCTTTTAAAATAGTGAGTATTTAAAAAAAATAAAGTTTGAAGTTATTTGCCTTTCTACCTATCGAATTATTATTTCCAAGTCTAAAAAATTAAATAAAATTTTAACTTTAATATTAAATAAATCTAAGAACAAAATATCTACTTTTGCGGACAAGAAGTTATGACATGTGCACATTACAGTATATTATATCGAAATGTGCACACTTCTTGACCGCGAAAGCGGTATTATCGTTATCGTTGTCTATATCATTTTCGTTATCATTATCATTATCGTTATCATTATCATTATCATTATTTTTATTATAAGAGTTATTAAATAGTTATTACTACACCTTTTCCAGTTGATATTTAGAAAGTAGCAATTGATATTCAGAAAGCAGCAATTGATTTTCAGATATTGCAAATGAAATTCAGAAAATAGCAAATGTAATTCAGATATTTCAAATGATATTCAGAAAGTAGCTGATGTAATTCAGATATTGCAAATGATATTCAGACAGTAGCAATTGATATTCAGAAATTACAAATAGTATTCAGACATTAACAATTGTAATTCAGAATATGTCAATTGAAATTCAGAAATTAACAAATGATAACATTTTCATACTTCATTTTACTTATTTTCTAAAATCTCAATTTAATGTATTTCTTTGTATATTGCTTTGTTTCCATGGAATTGACAATAATAAACAAATTTATCACCATTTAAGTAGTCATAATTGTCAACTTATTGCAAGTAGGGACCGAATTTTGTTCATTTGTACTTTATATATATTTCATTTACTTAGTTAATAAAGATAACGTGTACTTTCATTCATCATCGATTTACTGTTTGCAACCCACTGTTCCTGAAACAATTGCTGCGGCTGAATTACATTTGATTTAATCTGAAAAACATTTGCTACTTTCTGAATTACAATTGCAAGTTTCTGAAAATCAATTGTGTTATCTGAATTACAATTGCTACTTTCTTAAAATCAATTGTGTTATCTGAATTACATATGCTACTCTCTTAAAATCAATTGGAATAGCTGAATTACAATTCCTACTATCTGAATATCAACTGGAATAACTGAATTACAATTCCTACTTTCTGAATATCAACTGGAAAAGGTGTAGTTGTACCGCAAAAATTTAACTTCATTTTATTTTTTTAATTAAAAAAGTGCTTATACACAGTAAATTTTGATTTAAATTTTTGCTTTATTAATCCATTTCCTAAACAAAAAAAATTTACACATACCTACATAAATGAACATAAAAATAAAATACACATAATTAAATAACACACCATTCTGAAATCATCAAATTATAAAGAAATTTGCTACAATATAATTATCAGTACTACCACAACACTTACTGATGTATTTAACCAACTTTACTGTATCCCCTAATTTCAGTTTAAAAACCAGTGATGGCATCTTTTTTTGGATACTTTGCACACTCGTTAAATAGGTATTAGGAATCCGAATAACAATAATAACAGATTTTAGGTAATATATTATAAACACTGGACAGTTCTTACGAATACCTTACGAATTAGAATAAAGTAAGCAGGAACATAAATAAAAGACGCTGAAGTCATAAATAATCACATAATCACATATACTTTTTTAACGAAATAATTTGTTAAACATTAATAAAATAATCTGTAACCTTTGAAATTAACAAATTGCTTACAAAATTGTATATTACCTTCACAAAACTTTCGATAAAATATTTTATTTTAATAAAAAAATTACAAACCCTACCAAAAAATATGTTAAAATTTTACAAAATAAAATTAAAAAACAAATAGCCTGCATTATATAATAATATACTAATAAATTATAATCCTAAAATTTTAATAAAAAGCGTTTATTAACTTATATTTTGTTTCCTAATAGTAGTTTATGTCGTTAGGCCAATAAGTGAGTAATGTTCTGTGGGAAAAGCACAAAAATACATTCTGGGCCAAATTGCATACAACATTTTATCTTTAAGTTGTTATGATTTTTAGATTATAAAGTAAATTTTATTTTTACACAAGAAGAAAGTGGGGTGAAAGCCGTTTGACAAAATTCGAAATTTTTTATTGGTTCAAATCGGCCAATCATCGACACTAATTCTAGCCTTTAATAATTTTATCTACTCCTACATTGACGAGCTATGACTTCATAGCGTTTTAGTCACGAACTGAAGTTAACAACAGGGGCTTTTGGGCATTTTATTCACGGACTGAAGTCTACTTTATTATAAATTGGGGCAAAGTTACGTTAAATCCGTTAAAACTTGACTGATGTCAAATGTTTAAAAAATAAAATTGGCTTAAAATTCTTCTTTGTGTTCTTTGTAATAAACTACAATATGCAACTCGTTTTATAAAATTCTCTGGACCCTCGTTTTTATTAAACAACTACTTGTAAGCTTCGCTCGTGCCTAATAAAACTCGGCATTTATAAAACTTGATACATAATATGTTATTAGAGGCCTGCAGGGCCATGGGAGTGAGGATTGTAAAAATTATATTATGTTCATTTTCATTATATTTATTACTCTACAAAAGGAGTTATATTAATAATATAATATTCCTTAAATATTGTTTTATAATTAATAAACGTTAATTTTTGAATATTAATATTGTTAACCATAATAATTTTATCCAATTTAATGTGCGTACACTGGATTATTGCCAATAGAAAAAAAACTTTTTTATTATGTGTTTTAAAAATTATATATATTTATTTATTATTTATAAAGACAAATTTTATAAAAGAAAATCGTTTTCAATTCAAATTAAAGTCTAAATGCGAAATAAAAAATGTTAATTTAACATTGAACTTAGACAATAAATAAATAAATGAAATATTTTTTTAACATTTTATATTTTAACATAAATTTTCATCGACATTTAAAAAAAAAATATTAAATAAAGATACTTTTTTTAAGTATTTTCTTGTTTTCTTTATTTGAATTTTTTTGGAGAATCTCATTTTTTAAACAAGCAGAAGTTTTCGTAAACAATGAATTTTTTACGTAAAACGCATATTAAAAAAGTTTTTCCTATTTTCCTTATTTTTAGAATTTTATATAATTTGTTTTATTAAAGTTATAAATTTTCATTAGATAAGATAGCCCATAAAACTACCTAAAAAAAAGCAGTAAATTGCTTTAATAAAAGCTTTGGAAATCGTATAATTTATCATCGAAATCCATTCTGTACAAGAAAGATAAAGAGCATTATGAATAAAATAAATTTCCAAAATTTAATTTTCCATATTTGGCCAAATGCATCCCATCGCAATAAAAGTTATGGGGTTAAAACCATTTATTTTGTAACAAAAGAGAATTTTTAAAATCAAATATGCATTAAATGATATGCCTCTATTTTGCTCAGCTGTGGCCACATTTATTATCAGAAGAAAGATATCAAACATATGTTACCCCAAACTAAAGTTGAAATCTCATAGCAATAATAAATTTGCTACTCCTTTTTCTAAATCGTCAGTTTCACAAATGTTTTGTTTTTGAATACAATTTTCCGGTTACATTGTTTCTGAAATTGCGCAAATGGGCAAAGTTTAAAATAAAACTTTTAATTGCATATTAATGTTTTATTATTTCTACATAAAATGAATGGGAATTTTACATTGTTTATTTGTTGGGCTGAAACTGCTTGTGTACAAATCTCATATTTAAATTTCTAGCAATTAAAAAATCGTAGTTATTAAAAATTTAAATTTTAAATATAAACTTTTGTTATTGTAATGAAAACAACTTATAATTAGACCAAGGTTTTTGATGCGCAGAATTTAAATCAACCCTCAGAATTGCTTTATTACATCCTGTTTACAAAATTATAACCCAAAAGTATAACTTGATTTGTTACATGACGAACAAATTTTTTTCCACAAAATTGTAAACTGAGAAATTGCTATAACCATGACTTATAAAGTTAAACTAAGTTAAGATTTCTGAAAGAGTGTAAAG